GGAAGTGTAAAATGGGGAGTGCTGATATGTCAGTTCTCACCAGGAGCAGGAAGGAAAAGGGAAGAGGAGAGGAAACCTTACTATAGTAAGTGGAGATGGAGTGAGGGAAAACAAGGAGGGGCATATAGGAAAGGAGCAGCTACCCTGAACACAGATAATCATTCTAACACTCTGGTAGGTGTTTCATTCATTCATTTTTTTCATCATTCACTCATTCAAAAAATATTAACCCAGTGCCTACTATGGCCCATCTCTGAGTTCGGTGCTGGGGTTAGAAAGTGAGCCACAGTCTGCCCATCCTCATGAAATTTCCAGTTTCATGAGGACACAAAGTTACCTAGAGAACATATCAGTAAATGTGAAATTATTTTGGTGAAGTCTATAAAAAAGGGAAAATCACAGAATCTGTTATGGGAAATTCACAGGGTTGTGGAACAAGTTTGCAGAAGACATCATTTAAATGGAGATCTCAGAGTGAGTAAAGGGAGTCTAAGAGCAGAGGAGAGCATTCCTGGAGAGAAAGTGTGACGGCTTTGGCAGATCACAGGGAAATGTGCTGGGAAGAGGGCTGGGTGGCAGTAGAGGGAGTCCTGGGGAGAAGCTAAGCAAAACCACAAAACCACCTGGGGCGTGGTAGTAGGAAAGAAGCTACCATTTCATCAAATGCAAAAGGAAAGCATTGGATGCTTCTAAATGAAGATGCAATGTGATCCCTACTTACACTTTAAAAAAAAATGATGCCTGTAGTTGCAGGGTGGGGAGTGGATTGAAGCACACCAAGTGAGACTGTTGAGAAAGGGCTTTTCCAGTGTCTAAGCAAACGATGCAGGTGGCAGAGTCCAGGTTGGTGGCAAAAGAGAAAAGAAAAAGAGGTATCGATGAAAGGTAGGATTATGTAGGAGATCATCAACATCTCATTTAACCTTCACAATGACCTTGTGAGGGCAATTGTTGTTGAGTTTTCCCCTTATTTTGGCCATGAGAGTATTGAGACTATTGGCTCATGTCATGTGGAGGAGAAGATGCAAAACAATGTCTGAGACCTAGGTCACTTTTCAGCCTCAACTGCAACAGGCTCCTGTATTGAGCCTCTATTCTTCCATCTCTCTCTTTACTCAAAGCTGGAATATCTAATAGCTCAGTTCAAAACCTGGTTATACATTGTTATCCATTCTCTTCTAACACCTCCCCAACTACATACAGCCCAGTGTGGGGTCCCCCAGAACAACTTAACTGGTACTGATTGAGCTGCTCATGAGCAGTCCTATTTAAAGGCTTTACTTACAGACCAAGAAAGTGAGGCTCAGAGATAGCCAGTGACTCAGCAAAGGCCACCCTGAAAAGTTTTGGACTGGAAACCACTATTCCTGAGGTCCACAGATGACCCCAGAGACCCACTTTCTTCTAAGCACCTTGAAAACAGCAGCAGTTGAATGCCTTGGTTTATGCCCACATTCTCTTATATTTGGGAAAAACAGTTCAGATCCTATTTTTCAGATGGACCTGAGAGGGCACAGTGAATTAAAATGAAGTCCCAAATGCTATCGAATGACTGTCCCCAATCAGCATAGGAATTCATCTTTTCTGGTATTTTTATCTTTTCCTCCTTAACCTCAATGCACTTCATCATCTCCTCTGTGCCCCAGCAAGGCTGGCTTACACACCCCTGAGCAGACCACAGGGAACGGCTGATTCACTGCATTTGCTAAGGAGGAGCTTTGATGGCAGTGAAAGAGGTAGGGAGAGGGCTGGGACAATGGCAGTCCACAGAGGCCAGGGGATGTAGGGAAAGGAAAGCAATCAGCATAGCTAAACAGGATGACAGAAGTTATTTGATGTCATGGGCAGACACCCTCTTCAGAAAAGAGAAACCAGAAATGGAGAGGGGGACCCTTGGGTACAGGGGAGGCAAACAAGATAGAAATGAAGCCAAGTCAGAAGCCAGGAACATTTCAGGAACAGGAAGTTCTCAAAGGTGCATAGCTAGTCCCATTGAAACAAGAGTGAGAAGGTCAACATCAAATTCAACCAGCTCCCACCCTTTAACTCTCCCATGTTTCAGGTAAGAAAATGGAGGCCTGAATAAGAAGTGGGAGTTAATTAAATTCAAACAGCAAGTTAACAACAGATCTGAGACCCTCCCCACACCCCCAAATCCATTGATCCCTCCTCAGTACAGCTCAGTCACAATGTCTTCTTCACTCCATTTCTAACCTCCACCTGAATGCTTTATAGATATCAACTAATTTTAATTCTCAGAACAGCATTCCAGAGGTTTAATCTTGCCACCCTCCTTTTGTAGCTCAGAGAACTGATGTGCAGAGGTGTAAATCACACGTTTAATATGGTATCACTAGTAAATGGTGGTGTTGGGATTTGAATGCAGGTAGCCCACCACCAGAATCCATGCTCTTAATGCTTTGTTGTGTGGCTCTTGCATCCCAGTGGGCTCTCAGGCCAACCTTGGCTCACCTTTGTACTGTACATTCTTCCCATTGGGGCAGTGAGGGCTGCAGCTTCCCTCTGGAACACAGGCTTTTCCAGGACCAAATCTCTCCATGCTCCAAGAAAAGATCATAGCAGCAGTAGCAAGACCAACAACCTTGACAGGATCAAGGTTGAATTTTGAAGAATAAAGTACCAAGTGCAGTGTCAAGTGCCTGTGATCCTGCACAAAGTCTAGACTGATTTCGCCTAGGGAACTAAACATGCAGTTCCTTTCCTACCCTCTCAGGGACCTTCCTTGTTACATCCTTTTCCCTTAGCTTTTGCCACCATCTAATATATTCATATCTTGATATAATATAAGTTCCAGGTGGGTGAGGATTTTAAAAGTTGTCAACTTGGCTGTGTCCCTGCTGTCCAGAAGAGTACAGATATGATAGGTGCTAAACAAATATTTGTTGTATGTATAGAAAGAGGGAGGGAAAGAAGAAAAGACTTATTAGGAAATAACTGGAGAAAAGGGCAGAAAAGGAAGAAGAAAAGGAGGAAGTAAGAATGAAAAGGGGGAAGAGAACAAAAGAAAAGATAGAATAAAGAGAAGGAATCAGTAATGGAGAATGGAGAGAAGAAGACAAAAAGGAAGAGAGGAAAAAAGAAATAGGAATAAAAATGAGCCAAGTAAGCAAATAAACCCAGGACACTGGGGAGGAAGAGAAATATGTGGCAGAAACCAGAAGTGGCAGATGAGGGTTGTGCCATTAGTGAAAATAAGTGGAGGAAAGAGAAGAAGTAAGTAGTTTTGGCATCTGCCGGCTGCAGAGCCAGGGAAAGAAAGTGGGAGACATCACAACCCTGTTGTCCTCACTATCCAAAAAACATAGCTGGGCTTTCTGGAGTGTCTGAGGGCACTGAGCCAAATCATTTATCTTGAGTCCTGTGCCTCACTTTTGCTTTTCTTTTAAAACTTAATTCCAGTTTATGGGGGAGGGGGCATGCTCAGTGATGGATGTTTTTCCAATTAGCTGTAAATAGCTCAGTCTTGTGGAGGAGATTCACCAACTTCCCCAGTCCTAATTCTGGTTTAGTGTTGGAGGAAGGAGGAGACAGGTCAAGAATTATCAATCACCAACTTCTAAATCTCCAATGCAGAAAATTCCAGAAAGCTGAAGTGTGGGAAAGAGTGAGAGGCAGAAATTGTTATTTTAATTGATGCAGAGGCTGCAAACCCATCCCAAGGTATGTGTCAATGGAAGCACTCCTCACACAGGCCCCTTCAATGAAATGGTAGGGGGACAGAGACAGCAACAGTGAGAACTGAACTGACATCAATAATGTCTACCTTGATTAGGTATGGAGGGATTATAACAATAATTCCAACTACCTGGGAGGAGGATCTAAGTCTGAGAATGGCCTGGGCAAAAGTAACCCAGAAAAGCTATGTGATCTATGCCTATCACAAGTGAGTAGAATGCATGCTGAATAGTTCACGAGGATGATTCCTTTTCCTCCTTCTGCCCTAGGCACTTCTGAGGAGTGGTGGGAGAGGCAGGCATCCTATCATATTCCTAACTAATAACTAATAGTAATAACCAATCATTACTTCTCATAGTGGCAGTCATGGCAAGGTGATAACCGTACCTTGATTAAAGGTATTTGTGTGTGACAGTGGTCAGTGGGTGGTCACAGCTCAGAGATCTGCCTTAATTCCTGGAATACATGGAGTACATATTTGCATTCCAAGGTCTCCCTGAAGAATGCAATCTCATACTTGCTACTTTCCTATTCTGCACTCAGAGTTGAAGAATTACATTCACAAGTGATGGCCTGAAATATGCTATATTCTCATATATAGTATATTGAATCATAGGAGAAATATGGACCTTAGTAACAAGATAGAGCCATTTATGAGGCTCTGCTCCAGCACTCTGGCATCACCTTACATTGAATGTCATTGTAAGAAATAATGATGCATCAATATTGACTTTCATTTGTTGAAGACACTGTCTAGAAAATCATATAATGTCTTGTTTATGGGGGAACAACTAAAGGACTTTATCCCTGGTTTCAGTATCAGATAAATAGACTTTTATGAAGAAGTGTTTGATTCTATCCCATAAATCCTGTACATTTTCCTTTTGAGTATTTCCCTTTGCACTTTGGCTGTTAGGAATCTGTGAATCTACTTCTAAGAACTAAGACAGCATGGAATGGGTTACGTTGCATCAACCTAATAACTTGAGTTTGAATAATTTTCTTTATTGCTATTTTCTTTTCAATAGGATTAGTTATTTCATTTCCTGTGCTCAATTTTAGAGAAACTTCATGAACTAAAGAAAAAACTTTCCCCAATTCCTTTGAGGAATGATATAGGAGAGAAAGTAAATAAAGAACGAGCAGGAAAAGGAAGCAATGAAGGTCACTAGTCTTGTCAGGGCAGTGGATGCCAAATTCAGTTAACCAGGTTGAACAACATTTGTGTTTGGCATTGACTATGCAATCTCCACAGACTTTGCTGCTACACACTCTGGTTCTGGAACCTTCGCAAAGACTCTTACCTTTGCTGCGGCGGCGACTGCGGTACTGCTCGGTGTAGAATGTCAGCTGTCTTTCATCATCTGCTTCGGAACCAGAGGTCCCCTTGGTTCTCCCAAAGCTGATTCCCCCTGCAAGGAACCACAGAGTCAGCTCCCAGCCTTCTGAAGCCTGGCAAACCCCTCAGCCATCCCTCAGCCCAGCAACCTATGACAGCCTTCTCTGTAAACTCCAGTGAGCCAGGAGTCCATGTGATTCACGGAATGAGTTCAGAGTCTACAGTGAGGCAGATGTGATTTCCAGCTCTAACTTGGCAGCTTCCCGACTGTGTGACCTTCAGGAGGTCCCTCACTCTTCTGAGCTCAGGCTCTTCCTCTCTAAAACAAGGGCAATGGCTGTTGACCTTGTGAGGCTGCTTGGAAGATGAAAGGAGGTATGATATGTAAAATACCAGGTCCACCGTGGGTACTAAATTATGGAAAGTTACTGTTGCTTTCTATCATGAGCCTAACTCTAAACACTCCGGGCAACTTAATTTCATACACATTTCAATCAAGGCTTACTATATGCCAGGCCTGAGCCAGACACTGGAGACATGCAGATAAATGTGATTCAGTCCTTGCCAGTCAGGGCATCATAAGCTAGTCAGGGGGACAAATGGGATCTTTAAACAGAGTTCATGGCTTATGTTTACCATGCAATGAGATGTTAGGAATGTGGGAGAGAGCAATCCATTTCAACACAGAGGACTGGGAAAGTTTTATGAAGGAGTGGAGATTTAAGTCTGGGTTTGAAAGATGTATGGGGCTTCGGTCGTAGAAAAAGGAGTTCCAAGAAGAAGTCATTGCCGAGCATCCCCAAGGATGGGGAGTTTGACAGTTGGAGGCAACATCAAGCCCAGGATTAACTGAGAAGGACATGAGGGAGACACAATGGGAGGCTTTGAATTCCAAACTGAAGAGGCGGTAGAGGGGCTTTACTTTGGGTGTCACAGAAGGTTCTAGATTGAGAGAAAGAATTGATTAACTGTGTAGACCAAGAAGGATGTCCTGGGGGCACCCAGACCTTGGAGAAGATGCCAGTTGGGGCAAGTAGTTAGGAGGCTCAGTGATCACTCATGTGAGGGAAAGTGAAGGCTTAAGTGGGGGCACATTCAGTGAGGTTGGGGAGAAAGCAATGGGTGCAAGATGTGCTTCACAGACAAACCAGAGGAACATGTAGGGAAAGGGTGATGAATTCAGAGCAGTTGGTTACCAAAATGATAAAGATAATGGGCTAGAAGGAATTATTCTAAAATACTAATAGTCTCTAATTCTAATAGAAGAAACATGGGAATCACTATTTTTATCTTTATGCTTTCAGTATTTTTTGTTTTGTTTGTTATGCTTCTTATGCAGCCCAAAATGGCCTTGAACTAATGATTCTCCTGCCTCAGCCTCTCAAATGCTGGGATTATAGGTGTGTACCACCATGCCCAATGCTGCTTTTAGTATTTTTAATTGCCAAAACATGATGAAGTATAGAAAGAGAGGGATTAAAAGACTGGTAAATTAGAAACAAGGAGGATAGAGTTTCAGAGCATGGTAGGGGTGAGTGGGTGAGGAGGGGAGAGGAGGGACTTTGAGAACTCTAATGGATGGGGCTTCAGACATCTAGACAATAGACTGTCTCTAGGAGGACACTTAGAATTTGGTAAAAGTGGTTGTCCTGGGTAGAGAATTAAGTGGCCATACAATGAGGATAGAAAGAGGCTACTTTATCCTATAAATCTTTTGTATCTCTTGATTCAAGCACCATGCCAACTTATTACCTATTCAAAAGTTCCACCTAAGGAAAGGAAAAGCATAGATTAGAGGAAAATGTTATTCAATTCACGAAAGGATTTACTATGTAATTTCCTCAGGTAGAGATTTGAAATGACATTCAGTACAGAAAATCCACTTACAGACACACTTTCTACAGCAAGGTATTATACATTCATTCATTCCCTTGATGTAGTTGAGCAATCTATTTTGTGCCAAGAAGGTACATGGCGTTATGCAGTCCTCATCATGATATACTCATGAGGTAGGTGTACCTAAAAACTAGATAATAAAGGGAAGACAAAGGACATGCAGGGATAAAACTGCTTGTCTAACTGCACATGAGTAGAAATAATGGGATTCACTAGCTGATGAGTAGGAATGTTGGAATTCAGGGCTAATCTGATTTTTCCCTGAATTCAGGGCACCGTATACAAATTCCTTGAAATATCTTGAGAGAGAACCTTTGGAAAAGCTTATTGTCCTTCTAATATCAAGGTGCCATGTCTTATGTTAGCGGCTGTGCATTTATCATCTCATTCCAAATCATAGTACCCCTACGAGGGAGGTATCATTTACAGATGAGACAACTGAGCTTCAGAAAAGAAAAGTGATTTTGTGACAATGAATGAAGTTGGACTTTGAAAGCCAGGCATGACTGATGCCCAAGCTCAAAAATTTTTTATTAGTGTGTATTAATTGTACAAAGGGGATTCATTGTGCTATTTCCATATGTATATGTAATGTACCTTGATAATATACTTTGTAACTCACCCCCTCTGTTACTCTTTATTATCCTTACAGCCCCTTCTTAAAATAATTATGTACCTTGATAATATACTTTGTAACTCACCCCCTCTGTTACTCTTTATTATCCTTACAGCCCCTTCTTAAAATAATTTTAACAGATTTCATTATTCTATTTTCATTCATGCTTATACAGTACTTCAATCATATGCACCCCCCACTTTCTTTTTTTACCCTCCCTTCCCAATGGTTCCTCCCCCAAACAGTTCCTATTTTACAGTCATTCATTTTAACCACTTGTAACATTATGTTTCAGTTTAATGCTTCATAAAATGGAAAGATGGATACTGCTTCCCTAACTCCCTTCTCAAGATAAAATTTTGTATTGAATGGGAAAGTACATGGGCAGTCATTGCTGATCTCTGTCCCCACAGGTGTCATCAGACATGGTCTTAGTTCACACATCCCCAGCCCTCTGCAATAACGGCAGGGCCTGAAGACAGCAGGACACTCCAGATTCTACCAGACACAGTCCCCCCCATTTAAAGACTCTGAGAAGGAGTTGGCATGAGCCCGGTGGAGATTCTGGAAGTAACTGGAGAGCAGAGGTCCCAGACGTCAGCAGGACTTTTGAAATTTCCATTAAAATATTTTACGATAAAAAGAGAAGGCAGGGAGGAAGGGAGGGAGGGAGGTATTGAGAGAGGGAGGAAAGAGGGAAGGAGAGAGGAAGAGAGAAGGAGAGGAGAAGAGAAAGAAAGGGGCAGGAAGGGAGGTAGGGAAGAAGGACTTTTGTTTACATCTCCCTAATTCTAAGCTAAAGGGAAAATGAAGGCATCTGATAAAGCAGCTCCCATATGAACAGGAGGTATCTGCCATATTCCCTGCTGTATTTGGGGTAGCAGAGCAGAAAGGAGGAAAGGAGGGTTCTGTGTCTCTAGGAGTCTACCAGACTCTTCCCATAATCCCTTTAGAGTCATTTCTATACTTTTAAACACTCCAGCTAAATCCTCTATCTCCCTCCCTTCCTTTCTATCTCCTTTTTAATCTTTCCTTCTCTGGCAGACAAATGATTTATGCCTCCACCATAATGAACAAATACGATATATGTGAATTCAGACTAGGAAGTCTTTCCCTAGTGGGGGTGACTGAAAAATCTCTAGGAAACTCTAATGTAGTAAGAAAAGCCAATACAACAGAACCATCTCTCTCTACCAGGCATTGTTCTAAGCCCTTTACATGTGCTGACTCATGTCATCCCTATGCAAACACTGAGAGACAGGACACTACTTTTACTTCTATTCATTATAAAGGAAATATAGATAGATAGATAGATATTATACATTATGATAAGAAAAGGCTCCTCCATCCTTTTACAGAAACCACATCCTAAAACTACTATGAAAATGGCTCTCCTGAGGTCAACCCTCCATTCATATACTTCCTCTCATTTTCCTCCTATAAATACTGGGGGACCATTTTCAGGATGGAAAGTGAGGCTGAGAGAGCATGTCTCCAAACCAGCCTGCCAACAGAAGTCTAACACAAGCAGCATATGCAATTTTAAGTGTTCTAGTAGCCACATTAAAAAGGTAAAAATAAGTGGGTCAAATTAATTTTTCAGGACATTTTACCTGACATATGAAAAATGTTAATATATAACAGAAAATTATTTTTGCTAAAATATTTTATATACTTTTTCCTAATAGTCTTCAAAACTCAGCATGTGTTTCATGTGTATAGTATATCTCAATACAGACAATCCACCTATCATATATTCACCACACTGGAGGACACAATTCTAGAGGCACTTGAACAACAAACATTATTGAGCATAATTGTGGCTAGGATCTGGTCACAGAAGACAAATGAATAAACCACAGGCCTCACTAAAACATTAATTTTATTAAATGTGACTTGGATTAAATCTGACTAGGATATCATTAACTGACAATATCTATGGTCGGTCCCTGCTCTCAAGGATCTTACAGTCTAGGTGGTTTCTATCTTGGTTTAATCCAGGAGCTGTAGAGGTAATATACTTCATTAGAAAGAAATTAGGCTACAGGAGTCTGAGTTGAGTTCTAATACTGTTTTACTTTTTAGCTGTTTGGTCCTGGGCAAGGCTTCTAACCCCTCTGAACTCAAGTTTAAAACAGGGACAAAAACTTTCAGCTGACATGGTTATTATGAAGAAGGTGACATGCTACACATAAACATTTAACAAAAAGATCAAGGTGAGAGTGGTGGTGCCTTCCTCACTTACTCAGTGTTTGTCTGGGTTTAATAGGTGGAAAGGAAGTATTGTGGATGATAGTGACCACCCACCCACTGTGATGTCCTGAGAGGTGAAAACCACCCAAGGCAGATAGCTTCTTCATGTCCATATAATCTGAAGGGGCCACAGGCTAATTATAGATGACTTGGAGGTGATTTAGGTGGTTGATAAAGGTCCCTTCTGTTAGCATTATAATGCAAAATTGGTGACTTAGTGTACTAAAATGCAGTGATAAATTACTCAGGATTTCTTGGGTATTTCCACTTAGGGGCTGAAAGAAAGTTAGAATGGCCAGAGACTGTCA